TTATTCAATCAAAATTATTATTATCATTATTAATAATTGAAATTGTATTTTCATGTATATTAATTTTCTTCATGATATTCATTATCTTTTAATAGTTCCTATTCTTAATCTTTTGCAATTTTACGAATATTTTAAATAATATGAATAATTATATATTATATTATTCTAATTATATCTCAAATTTAGATGAATCATCAATCAAGATCTTTATTTATTTATTTTATTTAATTCTTTTTTGAAAAATATATTATAAAATAAAAGATATATATTAATAATTTTTTCAAAAACTATTTTCTAATTATTTTTTTAAAAAATTTTTTAATCAGAATACTTATTAAATATATTTATTCCATTCATATATAGTCTAGTGCTCCGCGGCGAAGCGGAGTTTAGGCTAGGTGTAAAGTTTAAAACATTACGTACAAGTTAAGAATCATAGAAACAAGAACACGTCCTTATAGGTTTACGGCTTGCGTAGGGCTTGCGTAAGGTCCGGCCCCTGGCCCCACCCCACCAACCGCCCCGACCTCTCTCCGCACACGCCAGCCCCCACCCCCCACGCCTACCAGACCATACCATTGGGGGTCGGGGCCGGGGGTCCCCTATTTTCGGAAACCCCTTGATAGGACAGAGGAACGCCAGACACTTGATCATATATATATATATATATATTATTTTTCTTTTTTATTTTAACATATATCTGTAGCCAATATTGAATATAAAATTTAGAAATCTTTTTATTTCTGCCAATCAGATTAGATTTAAATTTGTTTAGTTGCTGCTTTGTATGTGGTCTTGGGGATATGAATTTCGGTTTATTGGGCGTTTAGGACTCATTCCGATAGTGGTTTTATTCAAGATTTATCCTATCTACCAAAACTTCTGATTGAATTTAAGGAACGAGTGATTGGCATCTTCTCTTTTGCGCGGTTCGGCATTCAATGCAGATGTGCAGACTTCTCGGGGAAGCTCTGCGCACGAGTGCCGGCGCAGGGAACGTGGCTGGCAGGTGAGAGAACACTGATTTGGCCCCACGTTTCTGAAGCCCAAATCCAGCAGTTTCGGCTTAGGCCCCCATTTGGGTTTGGGGTTTAGGGCTCCATTCCTTGATCCCAAATGTCCGCAATTCCCTTACAGTTGCACCTTCAACATCCCCAAACAACTTTGACCGTACAGGGTTCTTTCGGGAGTAAAGGCGGAAAACCCCAAATACTCTTCCGCATTCTTTCACAGCCCTAGACCGATCAACTCCTTTTCACAATGGAGGGGGCCATAAAGTCCCAAACCACAAAGACTCAGGTGCACGAATTGTCAGCTAGCTACTGTAACCCTCATTCGGTGGAGCTTCCTCCATTTCAGCCCATGGGGCTCGCGAGATTGTCGCTGCACCTTTGAGAGTTTCGCGTGCTTGGACTTTGGGATTTCGGGCTCTGGAGCTTTAGGCTTCAAGGTATCGGTTTAGGGTTTAGGGTTTAGCGTTAGGCTTCAAGGTATCGGAGCTTCGGGCAGATGTGGCGTGGCCTGTCAGGCTGCATAGAACCCGCGTGTATGGTCAACCTATGCCCTAGGCCCCTAAACCATAACCCGAAACCTGAACTAGAGCTGGCCATTGATGTACACTTACAACATGCCAGGAAACCCCGACACCCCCAAGAAGCTGGGTGCGGGGCTTGCTAAACCTTCTAATTCTGGGTGCTCTTAACAAGTAGGGCTCCCTTTTTAGGGGTCCTTATCATAAGGATCACAAGTCTAAGGGTCAAGCAAAGGGCTGTTTGCGCATCATGGCTGAAGATAATCGAGTAAGGCTTTGGGGGTTTATTGTGGAAGTACACTACAGAATCCTAAAGAATAGTACTGGTAACTACTAGGCTTTTATAGCCAAACAGAGTACTCCACTCGGTCATGGCATGAGATTGGGGATGGACTGTTGGTCTCAGGGTTTACATTTGGAAATCCCTTCAAAGCCGCGAACTCCAGAAGAAGGGATCAGTTCCCAAAGGGGTTTAAGGTGTTCGGGTTTATTGATGTAGGGTTGAGGGTTTTAATAGAAGATGTATTGTCTTCAGGGTGTTAGACGGAAGGTGAGCCCTCGAAATCATTCTGGGCCGCCCTACAATAACAGAGTCCTGGTGTAGGATGTAAGGCCCCAAAACATACTTGCAAGGTTTACGTCGTCCCCCAAGTAAGTCTTAAACATCGCAACTAGCCGGAATAGAAACCCTGGAAATTGCTCTTCATACCTGCTTGAAAGAAGCAGAGAGAAGGAGAGAGACCCTCGCAAAGCGGGCAGTTCTCAGGTCATCCCGTTGTAAAATGGACGTTCTCAGGTCGTCTGGTTGAACATGTCGGGATTCTGGTTTATAGACAGTGTAGACTGCCGTGATGTAGGGTTTGGGTCCGGAATTTTGCCGGGTTTTATGCTTTTGCATTTGGGTTCTGGGTCGGGCTGGGCTGGGCTTGGCTGGGCTCTGGAAGGGGGAGGGGGTACTGGGGGGGGGCTTGCGCACGTGTAATGAAAATTCGACACCAATGAAGATGCAGCTCGATTCGAAATTCGCACAATTTCTACTTATCCTGTTCTTGAGGGTTTAGGGTTTAGGGTGCTCTCATGTAATCTTGTTAAGATCTGAAACCCAACGCACGAAAGGAGCTGCCACCGCTACGTGCCCGCCCAAAACACAAGAACGCCCACAAAAGATGCTTTAATAATTGAATTGAAACGGGGTTGCGGGGCATATCATGTAAGGACTTCATAAGGGAATACTATGACTACCAATTGCCCGCAACATCCCTAAACCCTAAACTTTGAGTCATAAGATCCGCCTTTAAGCCCAAGCCCCAAAACACTAAAGCCTTACATCCTAAAGAAAACCTAGGACCCGCCTCTAAGCCGTAAGCCCTAAAAACAGCAAGCGCTATATACATCCTAAGAAAATGCGAGGTCCGTCTAAAGGCCTTCAACCCTAAACTCTAAATCCTGCTTGAAGGAGGTTCATGGGTAGATTTATTTAAATAGTGTTATAAGTCACCTAATATGAGTTATAATCATAGTTGCCCTACTTATAAACCCTCAAACCGCAACATTAGGGGCCTTTTAATGACCTATATTTTTTTTGGGGTTCCTTAATTATTTTAATTCTATTATAAAGGACCCCAAAACCTTATTCTAATTATTAAGGCCTCTGTATTAGACCCTCAAACCCTAACCCTAAACAAACCCCTAAACCCTAAACCCCTAAACCCTAAACCCTACTGAACCCTCAAGCCGCCTTTGGAGTCGATGAGGCTCTCCATATCTTCCTTCCAACCCAGGCCTTCTGCCAGGGCCCGGCAGCCGGAGTCGCAATCGCCCTGGCCCAGATGGCCCAAAAGGAGCTCGTATAGGGGCTACGGTAAGGAATCTATAAGGGGTTACGGGTTACTAGAGGGTTTAGGGATTAGCGGGGCTACGATAAGGAATCTATGAGGGTTACTAGGGATGATGCTACAAGGGCTCCACAAGTGTTATGTGTCTAGATATTTAACCCTAAACCCTAAGTCTGATAATAGTTCAAGGTTAGGGTTTAGGTTTTAGGGTTTCGGGTTTCAATATAGGATCTTGGCTCAGGGTTGCAGCCTGGGCATGCAGTTCTTCCGTACTCTCTGGAAATTGGCCTGAACCGCTTGCCAAGTAACACACCCCAAAGAAACCCAGAAAGCCCTCAAGATGTGGGCCCCAAAAGCATTAAAGATCTAAGCCCTAAGCCCAATAAGCTACAGTTGGGCGTGCCTTGTGGAAGACGTCTCTCCAGTTCTGGTCGCCCTCCTGGGCTAGCAGGTGAAGCGACAATTCGAAACCACGCAACAGAGGCTTCTGAGAATCATCAGGGCTCTTTATGGGCTTCACAACAGGCAAAGAAAAAGTTGCATAGAGTTTTTGATGTCTTTTTTTACAATGGGGGCTTGTACCCCGATTTCGAATCAAAGACACTCCCAGCCTCAGCCCCCAAGTCCAAGCAAGCTGGACACAAAAGTTTAGGGTTGAGGGGTTTAGGG